TGTATTTACTCCTTTTAGGCCTTCCGACGGCCCAAGACGGCCCAAGAGGCCCCGATCGCCCCCAGAGCGCCCAAGAGGCCTCCAAGATGGCCTCAGGACGGCCCAACAGGCCCCGAAGACGGCTCCGAGAGGCCCCTAAGAGAGCTCCAATATGGCCCAAGAGGCCCTCCAAGACGGTCCAAGAGCCCAATATGGCCTCCAAGACACCCCAAGAGGGCCCAAGTCCGCCCAAGAAGCATCCAAGACGGCCTAAAATGGACCAAGAGGCCCCTAAGAAGCGTCCAAGACGGCTCAAGAGGCCCCCAAGAGGTTCCTAGGAGGACCCGGAGAGGCCAAAATAATTGGTGCTCCTTTGGATGTTTGCTCGTGGCCACCACGGGCGAGGAGACCTCCGAGTATATGAATTGCGTGCAGCGGGCTGGACAACAATATGGCCTCCAATTCGACTGGCGAAAATTGGAAGTTCTGTCGGCGGGGTGCAACGCGCGCATCCTACAGCCGGACGGGAATGCAATTTCGCAGACGGGCAGCGTAATTTACCTCGGGAGCTTAATTGCCAGCGATGGGAAAGTCGGCACGGAGCTGTCGCGCCGAGTAGGCGCTGCCAGGGCCGATGTTGAGACTCTGGCAAGGGTGTGGTCTGACTCGACGCTGGACAATGCGAGAAAACTGCGGATCTTTGACGCTTGCGTGGTGAGCAAGCTGCTATATTGTCTTCACATGTCTTTTCTGAGCAAACAAGAACTTCGCAGATTGGACGCCTTCCAAGGCAGGTGCCTCCGGAAAGTTCTTCGTATTCTACACTCTTACATAAGTAGAGTATCCAATGAATGGGTCCTAGAGCGCGCCGGATCCAAGCCGCTGAGCAACGCTCTACTTCGCCGCCAGCTGCTCTTCCTGGGGCACGTTGCCCGGAAGCCAGGCGACGACCCCGTGAGACAGACGGTGTTCCGGCCTTTCTCACACGAGCTGGCGCTGTCCATGTTCAGGAGGAAGAGGGGCAGACCGAGAAAGACATGGAGCTGTGAGATTCATGCGCACGCTGTCCGGGCAGCTGGGGGTGAGGAGGCCCTTGCGCATCTTTGGCAAGATTCAGTGCAGTCCATCGCAGCCTGGCACGCGACCGTCACGCGGTATTGCGATGCCCTCTGAGGCTGTGTTTCGTGCTCATGTGCGTTTTTGCACTCAGTTTTTCTCTCTCTCTCTCTCTCTCCCTTCGGATGTTTCAAGGATGTGGGGATGTACTTCTTTTCGGCCTTCCGATAGCTCAGGACGGCCCAAGAGGCCCCCAATCTCGCGCAAAGATGGCCCCAAAGGCCTCCAAGCTGACCTCCTGACGGCCCAAGAAGCCTTCGAGACGGCCCCAAGAGACCTCCAAGTTCGCCCAAGATGGCCTAAGGTACCCTGCAAGACAGCCCAAGAAAGCCCAAGATGGCCTCTAAGACGCCCCAAGAAGACCCAAGATGCTTCGAAATCCGCCCAAGAAGCCTACAAGACTGCCCAAGACGGCCCAAGAAGCCCCTAAGAAGCGTCCAAGACGGCCCAAGAGGACCCCAAGGTCGCCCCAAGATCGCTAAGAGAGCTCCAAGATGGCCCCATGACGGCCCCTGAGGGTCCCAAGACGGCCCCACAAGGGGTCCAAGACGGCCAAAGAGGCCTGCAAGACGCCCAAGATAGTCAAGATGGTCTCCAAGACGGCCCTGAAGCGCCCCAAGAGGGCCCCGAGTCGGTTCAGAGAGGCCCCCAAGACGGGTTCCGACGGCGTCAGACGGATCAGGAACGCCCTAAAGCGGCCAAAAAGGCCCCCAAGAAGTCCCCCAATGCCAACAATAGGCCCAAGGAGGCCCCCCAGAGGCTCCAGGAGGCCTCCAAGAAGCTCCCAGGAAGCCCTAAGAGTGTCCCAAGAGGCTCCCAAAAGACCTCCTCCTCCCCCTTCTCCTGCTGCTGCTGCTGCTGCTCCTCCTCCTCCTCCTCCTCCGCCTCCTCCTCCTCCTCCTCCTCCTCCTCCTCCTCCAACGCGCGCTCCCCGAATGCCCTCCTGACCAACTCGGGGAACACGTGGTCCGATAGTTTGGCCAAACTATAGCCCAGTTGTAGGCCACACAGGCGCTTCCAAAAGGGCAGGGGGCGGCGGTAATTCGCTGTGGGCGTCTTCGATAATGCCAACGTCTCAATATGCGCTGATGATACCTATCCGCCCCCGCATGATGATCCCAGATGCGCCAAGGCAGCGCCGAGACGCACCGACGCGACCCTGATATACCCCATTATGATAGAGAGGGGGCCGGCGGCAGGGGGCGAAACTCTCACGGATAACCATATTGTAATCTAACTATCGTTTCCCCACCGGTATGGCCAGAAAACGCCCGCCACGGAGCTTACACTAGAAGAGTTCTCGGAGCGAGACCCTCCGTCAACCCAAACAAACAGAACATCCAAGGATGCCCTCCCCAATGATACACAAGAGCATTCAATTAACACCAGGGTACCCTCCCAGAACCGACCTCGATCTTATACCTCGGTCCGACTGTACTCCGCCGTGCCTCCCAGGAGCCCACGAAAGTGGCGAAGGTTGCGCAGTTCGCAGCCGCACAGGGAGCAGCGCAGGAAGAGCAAGAGCGGGGGGCGGAGGCAGGAGGGAGGCAGGACGCAGGATGGAGGAGGAGAAGGAGGAGGGGGAGGGGCAGAGGAGGACGCAGGAGGGAGGAGGAGAAGGGGGATGAGGGGGGAGAGGAGGAGGGGGAGGGAGCAGCAAACGCTCCACCCGAAGGGAGGCAAGTCCAACCACGGGGAGGCTCGCGGGGAGGGCGGCGCGCGGGGAGGGTGCGTGGGGAGGGCGCGCGTGCGCGAGCGGCGACGCGCGCCTCCCCATGTGTTAGCCACTCCCCCCGCACCCCGCCTCACTCCTTCCCGCACTTGCCGGGGGGGCTGCGCAACCAGTTCGAACTGTCTGTGGTAGGCTATGCTGCAAGCGCTTGGGCACGTCGGGAGATGCACGGCGGCTGCGGAAGCGGTCTTCTCTCCAGCGCTTGGTATGGTACCTGGTGCTCGTGGCGCCGGCTGTGCACGGATGCAATATGGGAAACTGCAGTGTGAAATCGAAGTGAAGCGGGAACCCCCCACCAGGAATTCGCTTTCGGCGTCAGTTCGCTTCGTGTCGCGCGAACGAGCGAAGCAGAGCTGCGTGCGCGGACGGGAGAGGATCATCAGACAGAGCGAGGGGCAAGGCCGACGAGTTCCATGCCCCTTCTGCTTGCTGAGCGGTGCCCTGCGGATTACCCCGCGTCAGCGGCCTGCCCAGTCCAGCGGCTGGGCCCTAAGATCGGTGGGTGCTGAGCGGCTGTCCTGCAAGATGGTGAAGTGGACTGCCAGGTAAATGGTGGGACCATTAGCTCGCTGATTAGATGTGTGTGCATGGTCTGCGGTCGTGTGCAACTGTACGTCCTGAGGTACATATGTTCTTCGACCGCTAGAGATTTAAGATGGTTGGCTAGATCGTGAATTCTGACATGTATTATCAGGCTGCACGTCAGATATGTAGGGACATCCGACGCGGGGTCACCGCGAACCGAAAACTGCACGCACCCCCCCCAAAGGCCTCCCTATCAATCGAAAAGAGGCCGTCGAGGCTCAGACATCCGGGCACGGTTCGGGGCCGCCTGCTCGTTAGCCTCTCCAGCCTGGAGGGGCACGGGACGCCCCGTCCGCCCGCGTGGCGGCCGTGGCGGAGTGGAACGCCGCAAGACTACCAACCGGCTGTGCCTGGCGCTATCGAAACGAGCAGGACCTGAACACGGCAAATCAGCACTCCACCTGAGCAGAAGATCTCGAGCTCTGCTCTGCGCCAGCTGCGCTAGGCCCAGCCACTAGGTTGCGTCACCGGCGAGGGAGGGAAATGAGACAGAGAAGGCCTTCTCAGAAGACGGCGGGGCTTCTCAGAAGGCCAGAGGGCTTCCGAGCCTTCTGAGAAGGCCTTCTCTTTCTCACTTCCCCCCCTGTCTCGCCACCGATGGCGGAGACTGGCCCCCGGACTGAGACCCCACAGAGATAAGTGACCCAACTTGTGCCAGCGGGATGTGTGCGGGAATGCAGGTTCGACGTCGATGGCGTGCGGAGAGAAGCGAAGACAGGGAGCACGAGGACCCGGGGTCCCTCCCGAGGCCCTGGATCCGGCCGAAACTGGCGCGATCCCCAAAACGCCGACCGCAACGCCTTCAATAGGGGGGAAACTGGCCGATGCCACGAGCAACGAGCGTACCGACATGCATATCATGTCAACATCAATACCCATGCCCTCGCGGTCTGAGATTCCTTGCGTCGGCACGGACTTCTTGGGTGGAGATCCGCGCGGACTTCTTCCGTCAGCGCTGGAACCCCCTCCCCGCCCCTGGGCGGCGCCTACAGTGCCACGCGCCGGAAAGGGGATGTAGGGAAGGAGGTTCAGCGACAACGCACAAAATCCGCGCGGACCTCCGAAAATAAGTTTGCATGTTGTGTTGATATCTTCTACTTGCGACTTTCGAATCGTGGCGTTGGAAAACGCCCGTTCCTTCTTCACCGCCTCTGCCGCAGCGGGGCTCAATCAACGAAGCGTTACTGTTCTCACTCGCTCGGCGTCCCTCGCCTTTCCGCCGACCTATGCCGAAAACGAAAATGCTGATCTTCAAAGCTCATCCGCTTCGGCGGATCCAGCCTGTGAGCCGCTGGGCATCCGATCGACGTCGAGACATACGGGCCCAGACTCACCTGTTTGTCATGCAAGCGCCTGTAACTTCTAGTCTAGTAGTTTCAAGGGGCTGTACTCGTCAGCGAAAGCCCTCCCCGGGCTGTCGAAGCACTGATTTCAATGTCAGGGCCACTGTGTCGTGCTGTGTGTGCCGCGGCGCGGGTGCCCTGTTGCGCGTGCCTGCCTTGCCATGCCGCGCACGCCGCTCTTGACCATGGGCGATCAGCTCAACGAAGCGGCATTCGAGAGATGACATGTTGAACAGGCAGTGCACCCGCAGCGAGGCTGGGTATGCAAGCAGATCGTAGTCCAGCAGGACAAGATCCTCGCGAGCGCAAGCGGAAATGCAGAAGATGCCTGCGTGACGGTAAAACCATTGGGCTGACATCCTGGCTCCACTCTGGCGCAGGCAGACAAGCAATCGGCTGAGCTCAAGACTGTTGCGCTTGAAAGGGACGCCCGCAATGCACAATACTGAGGGAACTGTTCATCTTCCTCCTTCACAAAGTATGGGTTCCTCCGGATTTGGGCTGTAGAAGAGGAGGTCCCAGGTCTAGCGGCGAGTATACGGTCAACAGCCGAACAATCAGTCGGATGTAACATCAGCCATCGCAGCCGGGAACAAGAGCCTGTGCGGACGCGTGGGGGAAACACAAAAACGAGAAAACAGCATAAGTTCCGACAGCTTCGAGGAGCGACGATTCTCGTTGCGAGGAAACGAACGAGAGGCGCCGACACGAGCGAGGAGAACGAGGACCCCGTCAATGACAATGACGATGCTCGCACTGTGTGGTATCAATGTGGTGTGTTTACGCCCCCGGGGGGTCCTGGGCCGTCTGCAGGGCCTCGTGCAGCACTCATGGGTCGTCTCTGGGTGCTCTCCTCGAAAGTCTTCGGGACCTCTTGGTTCGTCGTGGGCTGTCTTGGCCTACTTAGATCTTTTGGGGGGCCTGAGGAAAGCCTATCAGGGAATTCCTGGAAACAGATTGGGCCGTGCTGGGGTCCCCTCTTGGGTGTCTTCTGGGGCCATCAGGCCGTCATGGGGCAATCTGGGGGTCGCCCACGCGCAACATTAACAGACAACAGCAGTCTAACAACTTGCACGAGTGCCAATGATCATACAACCTGTAAGCCAAGCAAGGCGAGGCATGTTATAAACGGGACAGAGGGGAAGCCAGAGGATGGAGGGAGGATGCCGTCTAGGGGTTCCGAGGGCCTAGAGAAAGGGAGGCGAAAAGAAATGGCACACGTGCCCTGGCTCGTGCACGAGGGAACGGCGAGACACAGGAAGACTTGACAAGTGAAGAAAACCACAGACGTGCAGAAACCGGAGAACTTACACACTGTAACCTGGGACGGATCTTCATACCTGTTTGGTCGCCGTCTTGGAAGGTATCTCCAAGGGGAAGTTGTACTTCGAGATCTTGGACAACCAATAGAGCCGACTGTGCTTAAACACATGTTTCACTTCATCATGTTGCCCCAATGCCTCCGAGGGAATATGATCGGCCGCTCCATTATGAGAAACGACTTCAAGACAATACAACCTATATCCAGCAGTTAAGAAAAAAAAACTTCGGGTATAGAGACAATAGAAGCCATATGGAGAGGATGTTGCAACATCAGTTAGGTCCTGATGCCCTCTTTGGGGCGTCTTGCAGCCCTCTGGAAATACTGGGGGCCTCGTAGGAACGTTTGGGACCCTCTTGGGCCTCCATTGATTCGTTCCGCATCGAGATCACCTGCAACTAATTGCGCACACACCTCGCACCAAGCAAGTGGGAGTCACGCGAAGACCACGACACTGGCGATTCAACACGCGAAACGTTGGCTTGTACAGAACACCAGCGCGTGCAGATATGCAAAGGGCGCCTGCAAATTGCAGCCGCCACGTGACAAGGCGTTCTGGGCCTTCCCTGGGCGTCGCGGGGCACTACAGTCAGGCCCAACCGAAGACAATCAGACCGCGATTCCAACCGAGCACCAGTCTGGATCCAAAGCCGTTTTATGTATGATGTGTGGTAGTGCTGTGTTACCCCTGGGCCCACGACCTGAGCGGGCACGAACGCTTCTCGGGATAAGACACGCCTTCACGGACTGCAGCACCTAATATCACATTGGTCTTAATGAAGTTTGGTCTTGTTCGGGGCAGGCTGTCGCTGTGAGACACTTCTGTAGCAAGCATTAGGGAACTGATTACATACTGTTTTTCATTGCAATCGCAGTCGTCGCCGCTTCGGCACACTCGTCATCGCTGTCACCGTTCCTGACCTGACGTTGCCTCAGAAACACTCCCGCCCCAGCGGTCCGAAATAAAGGAGGCAGTCTTGGCCACATCACCCGCTGGGGTGAACCTGCCGACCGCAGAATACAAGGAAGCGCGTGGCAGGAAACGGATGCGTGAGAGCAAGAATGCAAGGAGATGGGAGGTAGGGAGGTGGGATGGTGGAGCGACGGAGTGGATAGAGACCATTCTCGAACATGGCAGAGACATGGACATTCACATATGTGGATATATCCGCCGATCCGGCGTGTGAGTTTCAAAGACCCTCAGATATAGCCTGAGCCTCAGTTCTTGAGCTTCAGCTGTGCTGGGGGGGGGGGGGGCTGGGGGGGCTCTGCCCGGGTAGGGGGGGGTCCGAGTCAATTTTGGTAGCAAAATCGGAGCTCCAGCTCACTCCGGGTCGGCCCCTCGCCCCAGAGAGCTCGAACGCGGGCTCATAAAAAAACAGCGGCCGCCCAGACGGCCCAAGAGGGCCCTGAGTGGCCGAAACATCGCTCCAAGACATTCAATATGTTCCTCAGACGGCTCCAGAAGCCTACCCTCCCGACACCTCCTGAGAGTGCCCAAAGATGGAAAATCTGTCCCATTCCCTTGAGAAAACATACATCTTTGGCATTTTCGCTTCTTCGGCCTTCGCAGTGTCCAACACGGCCCAAGAGACCCCCAAAACAGGCCCAGAGGCTCTTAAGAGGGCCCCAAATCGGCCCAAGAAGGGCCCAAGACGGCCCGGGAGGCCCCCAAGACAGCCCAAGCGGGCCCCAAAACGGGCCCAAGAAACACCCAAGAGGGCTCCATGACGGTCCCAGAAGGGCCCAAGACGGCCCAAGAGGCGCGGGAGGCACCAAAATGGTCCTAGGAGTCCCCAAGAAACCCCGAGAGGCTCCAAGTGGCCCTCAAGAAGCCCCCAAAAGGCGCCCAAAAGCGCTCCCGAAGGCTTAAAAGTTACCTCCTACACACCCCCAGGAGGCCTCCAGGATGCATCCTGCATTCCCCCCAAGAAGACCAAAAGGCCCCCAAGAGGCTCAACAATCACCTCCAAGACGCCCCCCAGGAGGCCTCGAAGATGCGTCGTAGAGGCCCCTGAAGAAGCCCACCCAATGCCTCCAAGCTGTTTCCAAACCATTTACGTTTGAACAAGCGCGCTGTGGCGGAAGCGTCCTTCTGACAGCGGGATCGTCCCTGATCGGCGGCACCGACCGGAGGCCTCTACAATATATACATATATAAATATACATATATATAAATATATATCGATACACATACACACATAGTTACATATACATATATACATATATCGGGAGGGAGAGAGAGAGAGAGATACAATATACTGCAACATACATCGGAAGAGCGACACAGCGGAAGCGAGAGAGAGAGAGAGGGGGAGAGAAAGAGAACGAGGAAATCAGAGAATTTGAAACGCAGCGAGGATACACATAGAGAGCGAAATGAGAGAGAGAGAGAACGAGACAGGGATATGATATATGTGTACAGAGGGAGAGAGAAGGAGAGGGACATACACATGTATATATATAGATATATATATATATGATATAACATACAATATATAAATATATATATATATATATACACAAACACCATCGCGCGCGCTTCGCGCGCTCAGGTTCTAGCTCAGGCCTGGTGGGGGACTGCGCTATCAAGCACAGGCGCCTGACATAGTCGTGCCTCCTGATGGCCTCTTGGGGACCTCTTGGGTGTTCGTGGCTGCATCTGAAGGGCTTCTGGAGGGTTCTCCGTGTTTCCTCAATTGGCTATTGGAGGCGCCTCTTGGGTGCTGCTTGGGGAGGCGTCTTGGGGCTTCTTGGGGTCCCTTGGGGTCATCGTCGGGGTACCCCGGGCAATCGGAAGGTGATATTCTGCAATCTGAAGCTCTGAAGCCGTCATTGGCCGTCTTAGCTGCGTGGAAGCCCGACTTGAGGCCGGGGCCACGTTGAGGCAATCGGGCAGCCTCCCGGGGGCCTCCTGGAGACAGATCTGATGCATCGAAGACACTATTGGGCTATCTTGGGGCTCCTTGTACGTCTCCTGGGGGCCTTTTCAGGCCTCTTGGGAGGCTTCGGGGGGCCTCGTCGGACCACTTGGGGACTATTGGGGCCTCCTGTGGGCTTCTTAGGGCGGAAAACTCTGCTGTTGCGTTCGCATTCCCTTTCTTGTGCCTATCTTGGGGCCGTCTTGGGGCCCTCTCGGGCCGTCTTGGGCGCCTCAGGCACCGTCTTGGGGCCCTCGTGGGCCGTCTTGGGGCCATCTTGGAAGGCTCTTCGGCTATCTTGGGGATGTCATATATATATATATATATACACATATATACATATATACATATATACATATATACATAGACTTGTGGCGGTCATGTATATATATATATATATATGTTCACACATTTATACATATAACACGATGGGAAAACAATGAGTTGTGCCTCTTCGGGCCTTCATTGGAGGTCTCTTGGAACCTCTTCGGCCATCTGGGGAATTTCCTGAAGGCCTCCTGGATCCTACTGGGTGACTCTTGGGGTTTCCTGAAAGCCTCTCTGGGTGGAAGGATCTGATTTTCGGTTCGTCTTGACCCTCTTGGGCCCCTCTTGGGGCCGTTTTGGTGCCCCCTCGGGCCGTCTTGGGCGCCTCTGGCACCGCCTTGGGGCTCTGTTGGAGGCCTCTTGGGCTATCTTGGAGCACTCTTGGAGGCCTCTTGGGCCGTCTTCGACCGTCGGGATGCCCATAAGCTGAGATCTCGAAAGTCAATCAATAGCCGGTTGCAAGACACTGATTGTTGCCTATGGGGGCCGTTTTGGGAGGCCTCTTGCAACCTCTTCGGCCCCCTGGGGAGTTTCTTGGGGCCTCTTGGGGCCTGTTGGGGGCTTCCTGGCCTCTTGAAACCTTCTCGGGGTGGAGAAGCTCGGACTTTCGGTGCGTGTTACCTCTCTTTGCCCTCTCTTGCGGCCGTCTTGGGGCCCTCTCGGACTGTCTTGGGCGCCTCCGGCGCCTTCTTCGGGCCCTCTTGTTTTGTGGCCGTCTTCGAGGGCTCTGGAGGTGTCTTGGAGCGGATATTGGGGCCTCTTGGGCAGTCGTGGAGCGCCGGGAAACTGAAAAGGCGTGAACTCGAAAATCCTTGAAAAAAAAAGCAATGGGAAATCCATGATGTTTGTCTCCTGGGGTTCCATGGGAAGCATTTTGGAAGCCTCTCGGGGGGTCTTGGAGGCCCTCTGGACATTCAGGGGGTAATTATATGGTAATCTCGGGCCGTCGTTCGCGGTCTGGAAGCGCCCCTTCTGGTGATCCGCGGCCGTCTTCGGGCGATTTTACAAAACCCCCGAGACCGGGGCCGATCGCAACCACTTCGGCCCGATCGCAACCACTCGGGGCGGACTCCAACTGGTGGCGATCGGGCCGAAGTGGTTGCGATATGTTGGCTTCGCTCACATATGGCGTTGGTCAGCAGGGACTCTCCAAGAGAGCTTCTGGAGTGGATAGCATGCCGTGAGCTCACCGATGGAATTCTCACCAAACGGTTGCGATCGGGCCGATCACAAGCCGCGAATAGTACTAGTTCTGTTTGTAGTAGCAGTAGTAGTAGTAGTAGTAGTAGTAGTAGTAGTAAACTAGTAGTAGTCGTAGT